TGAGAACATTTTTTTTTATTGTCGTTGCTAAAAATAAATATTTGAGACATAAATAATAAAAGAAGAAATTCACTTCTTTTATGTGCCGTGTCCCTACAGGACGTAGGCGATCGCCTTCCGCCTCCTCCTGTGCCTTATAGCTCTTAACCCTTCTGCCTGAGCTCCTGAGTCAAAATTCACAAATAATTGGTATGCAATGTTTCACAGTAGATATAAAAATAGTTACAAGTGTTTACCCATCGTTCAAGCGGTAGCTGGACATTAAGTCATTTTCCTCTACCACTGTTCAACCGGTGGCTGGTATGACATCATTTTCTCTACCTCCCGGTAAAGCGGTGGTCAAGGCTCAAAGGGTTAATACGTTTTGTCATTTTGTTATTTCTCCCAGACCCTGTTCTGCCATCCACTTGCTCAAGCCCATTAAGCATGTCGCGTTGCTTCCCCACCCCGCAGGTCCCTCTATCTGTCTTCTATCAGATTTTCCAAAGCCTTTCTTTCTCATTACGTGTTCTAGAAATTTCAGCTGCCTTTTCCTGATGTTAAGTATAAGTTTCCTCTCCAAAACCTCGTAGTTGCTCACATGTTCGGCCCATGGTATCCTTAGCATCCTTCTGTGGAACCACCTTTCTGTTGCTTCAAATTACTTCTTCAGCTTTGAGAAGGTTGTCCAGTATTCGCTGACATATGTCACATAACAGTTCAGCACTCTTTTTTCTTTGTTTCCAACGAAACTTCCCTGTCTCATAATATTCTGCTTAGCTTTTGTAATGCGTCTTTCGCCATCCTAATACGTCTTCGGATCTCAGTGTGGCACTTTCCGTCTTCCGTTAAAACACTTCCCACATATTTAAATTTCTGTACCCGCTTGATTTTAGCGTTCCCGATTTGTAAATTGCATTTTGGGCTCATCTTTTTTTTTTTTTTTTTTCTGATAACCATGTATTCTCTCATCTTGCATTTTATGCTTAATCCCATCTTCTCGCTCTCCTTCGCTACCTTCTGTATGAGGTTTTGTCTTTTCCTTTCCGTGTCTGCTATCAACACTGTGTCATTTGCACATCTTATGTTATTAAGACTGTGGCCGCTAATAAGCAATCCTGGTAGGATTTTCAGTTTTCTCAGAATTGCCTATTTGAATAGATTAAAGTCCGGTGAAAAGACACATCCTTGCCTAACACCCCTTTTTTTTGTATATCTGCTGAATTCATTTTTATCCATGCTGCCAGTAGAGATTTTGATTATTCTAATGTCTGTCCTGAATATGTCAAGGTTGCTGGGTAGCTGTAACAGATATTTGTGGCGTACATTGTTAAACGCCTTTCCATTGTCTATAAAACCAGGTACACGTTCGTCTGCATTTTATTGCTTTTCTGATTATATTCTGAGCATAAATATCGCGCTCCTTGTTCCGGTGTCTTTGACAAATCTGCACTGTTCTTGTTCTATCTCTGGCCTGATTCTGCTACGCGCTCTATTCATCATAATTTGGGTGACGAGCTTTGTTATGTGGCTCATCAGGCTGATTGTTCGGTGGAGTTCCCGTTCGTTTGCGCCACGTGTCTTATGGAAATAGAATAGAACTGCTTAGATCTTCCGGTACATCAACACCGTTGTAGATTTTATTTATTATTTCTGTAATCTTGTCTATGCCAAAATCATCTAAGGCTTCCAGAATCTCTATGACAATTCCATCTGGCCCTGCCGCTTTGTGAAAGAGATCTCGAATATATTCGTTCCAACGATTAATAATTTTTCTTTCTCTAATATCAGCGCTCCGTCCTTGGATTTCATGCTGCCTGTTGATGAGCATATCCTATGTCCTTTTATTTTCCTTATTTTTTTTATGCATAACTCCTTTATCTGTGATACACATTCTCTCTATTTCTGCACATTTTTCTTTAAGCCATTCTTTAGCTGCCTGCATTTGTTCCTTATTTCATTGCGTAGTTTTCTGCATTCCGTTCCATGTCTTGGCATTGTTTTCTGTCTCTTTTGCAACATGTCGAGAATGTCATCTGTAATCTATTCATTTTTTCTTCTTTGTGCATTCTCCTGATGTCACTAAAGTTTCTCTTAGTGTGTCCCATTTCGAGTTTTCATCTGCCCTTCGTATCTTCTTTTCACACTGTCCATATATTTTTCCTTCAGGTTTGGATCGTTCAGGAGTCTGTTGTATTGCAATTTGGGTGCTACGTTCGGCTTCTTCAGTTTCTGCAAATTCATTACTGAACTAAAACAAAAGTAAACAACGACTCCATGTTGCTCCATGCGGATGAAGTGGCCAATCCATCGGACTTGTGCCTCCAGATCGTTGACGTATTGATGATGAATTTTCAAGATGCCACATTATGCTCTGCTTTCAGCCACGCACTAACTGGTCCGTATTGTCACTGACGACAGGTAGTGACAAATATGGTGGTCCTTTTTTTTCACACCTCGAAATATATCTCATGGAAATTACAACAAAAAGAAATAAAACAAAACCAGCTAACAAAAAGACAGCTACTCCGACCCTCAATCTTTCTTTCTCCAATATTCGTGGTATCCGTTTCCTACAGCGTAGAATCTTTTCTCCTGGAACAGTCCCAGATATCTTTTCGCTTTGTGAAACCAACTTGAATTCTTCCATTGCCACAAATGAATTCTTGGTTCCAGGGTATTCCCCTTTGCCGAAAAGATTCCAGCATTCACATATATGGCCTTGCTGTTTACATTCGGGATAATCTTCTGATGGCTAGAGAATTGTCTCCTACTACTCTTTTATGTGCTTCCGTCTTATGCTACTAAACTCTGTCAGTTCTTTTTTTTTTATCGCCCCCTTTTTTCCCAAGATTGCAGTATATTAGACACAATAGCTTACAGTATAGAAAAGGGACTTTCTCTCCATTCATCTGTGAACATCTCCTTTCCTCGCTCTTGCCGAGCTTCGCAATACTGCCCTCTTGGCGACTCAGACCACTCTGTGACAGCTATTGATATCACCTTCCAAGCATTCATTAAACAGGAACCCTCTATCCATAAGACCTCTTTCCGTTACCAGCATGCTGATTGGGACTCATTCCGGGATTTTCTTCGTGACGCCCTTGGACTGACATATTGAAAATTGTGCCACTAAAGTTTCTTCTTAGGTCAAAACCGGCATGGATGCTTTCATCCCTTCTTGGAAATACCAGATGAAACTGCAATCCTCTCCATGGTCCACACCAGCATGCTCAGCCGCTATAGCACACAGGAGTCACTATTTCCCGTTATACCAGCGTGACAGCTCTCATCATAACACGTGCCTATTTGCTACTGCTTATAATAAGTGTAAGAGAATCTTCAAATGAGCTACGTCTGCTTACTGAGAGAACAAGGCATCGCATAGCCTCTAAAAACTTTGGCTCTCGTCATTACTGGCGTCTCTGTAATAGGGTACTAAATAAATGCAAGGTCTCTATTCCCCACCCCTCCTCTATGATAGATTTGAGGTGCTATCATCCTCTGTTGATAAAGTTGAATCCTTTGCCCATAAATTCTCCTCAAATTCTAGTCTTGATTCATCTGGAATATACCTAATTCTCTGTTGAGTGATATGCATATAACCTCTTCCATAGTCTCTGCTATCATCTCTAACTTTGATAACTGCAAAGCATGTGGGCCCGATGGTATCTCTGTAATAGTCATTACAAGTATGTTCCCAAAATGGTTTCTGTTCTCTCTAAACTGTATAATAAATGCCTCTCTGCCTCCTACCTTCCTGCTTGCTGGAAGTCATCATCTGTTGTTCCAGTTTTTAAGAACTCTGGTGAACCATCCAACCCATCCAACTATTGACCAATTAGCCATTTTGGGGAAACTTCTAGAGGCCATAATCAATGCAGAATTGGTTCACCATCTCTCATCATGGGGCCTTTTCTCAAACAAGAAATACAGCTTTTGTTTCCCCAGGTCAACTGCTGATGTACTAACGATAATTGTGGAAAGAGTCTATCAGGCTCAAGATAAAAATGGTGAACTTAGGCTATAGCATTGAACATCTTGAAAAGCTTTGACATGGTCTGGCATTGTGGTCTTCTCCACAAGTTGAAAAGTTATGGTATCACCAGACACATTTTTGAGCTGATCCAGTCTTTCCTATCAAATCGTGAAATGAAAGTTATCCTGAACAGCCACTCGTCTACATCCTTTTGCACTAACGCAAGTCTCCCCCGGGGCTCCGTCCTTAATCATACACTGTTTTTAATCTTCATTAACGACCTTCCTGATGATATCAGCTCTCAACTTAGCATCTATGCTGACATCACTACCATTTACTCCTGACTCGATAGTAAGGCTGATCAGCCCAACAAGATCAAAATGGCAACTGATGTAGAAAACAACCTCAAAACCAAAAATGTCATGTCAATTTTAACACTTCTAAAACTAAACTTCTATTAATCATCTCTCTGCCTTCAATCAGCATGGCTGATGCTAACCTCCAGGAAAGTAACTCATTGTGCCTTCTCAGGCTAATGTTCTCAGCTGACATGAAGTGGAAAGACTATATTGAGTCAGCTGCTAAGAAAGTCAGTTCACTGTGTCGGGCAAGAAAATTCTTCTCTCCAGAATCTATCTTGTATAATTATGAGTCTATCAATATTTTGGAATATTTAACAAATTCTACCTACAACTGGTTTAAAGAACAATGAAAATGCTTTATAAGAAAATTTTAGGCAAAGTAGCCATAATAAACATGTTATCATGAACCTTTGTGAAAATAGAAGTAAACATTTAATACTTTGTAATTATTATGCAAATCTTTATTTTTATTATTTTCTTACAGATTTTTTATTAAAAAAATTATGTTAATATTTGTAAATTTTCTTTATTTCTACCTCTTCTTTTTAAAAAAAAGAGGAAATGCAATTCATCATTCAAATATTATTTTTCTTCTGTGTAGTTCTGTCACACTACACATTTTTTTATCTAAAATTCCTCAAAAGATAAGAAAAAAAATTAAAATCAGTAAGTAATGTGTCTTAAGACAAGTTATGGTCAAGTACTTCATACAAGTCATTTCTTTTCTGTTGACGAAGAGGTATTTGGTTTCGGACCTCATCCACATAACCAATATCTGAAAAAGAAAAAAATGCATATTAACAATTCAACAATTAAGGTTTATTTAAAAACTAAGTCATTCATTTGTTCTTATCTTTTAGGTAACTTTTAAAATTGTCAATAAATATCTTTCAGGACACTAAATGAATGTGAGTTGACTTAAATAATGTGTGTAATAAAACACATTGTAGACAAAGAGTTAAGAATTTTTTTTTATTTTAGAAAGAGATAATAATCTATTTCCATTCAGAAAACATTCAACATTCATTGGCCAAACAGTATTACTGCCAGATGAAATTTATAAAATCCTTTCCTTAAAATAGTTTCTCAGAAAATTAGGCTTCCCAAGCACACTTTTATAGCTCTTTCTATTATTGATGGATGTTTCCTCCCAAACCTGTTTAGCAGGAGACTAATGAGTCTTTGATTTATTCATTATCTATGGCGTATAACAGTTTATTAAAAGCCAGAAAATATTTTTAGATTCTAAGATTTTTTTTTGGCTTTTTAAAATAATAATGGTTTATTGATACAAGTCTTACTAATTAATGTAGTGCTAGCTTAGTAGAAGTAATCTCTGTAACAGGATCTACTCAAGCCTAATCAGCCATCATGGTATTTTATACAATGATGGCTTTTTTTTTTCTTTTTATACTATGTTCTCCCAATACAAGGCCAAAGAATCACTCATAGTAGATGGTTACTGTGTGATGTGATATGGTGATTTTCTAAGCATAGCTTACATGCGGCACACAGTAAGGATCAAACTCACTACTCAGTCATAATTGTTCTAGTGAGACAAGTTTGCTATTACACCACATCACGGTGCCCAAAATGATTTTCTAAACTTAGCTTAGATGTGGCACATGGCCCAAATTGTAGAGCACCCAGTGAGGATCAAACTATTCAGTCATAACTGTTCTAGTGAGACAAGCTTGTTAACCATTACACAATGTCAAAATGCCCATGTGTAGTGTTATATGAGCCTAAGAAAATGTAAGAACTAAAGTTTGTGCAGTTATGCAGGAAAAGATAACAGTTAACAGTAGACTTGAAAAGGCCAAGATTGTAATGATTGGAAAAACATTCTACCAGGAGTGTGTTGCACAAAGCCGCAGTTCTTGGGGAAAAAGACGTCCCAATAGAATTTATTTCTTACTACGCTTAAACAAATCTTAATTTTTAACATTAAATTTACTCAACATTACTTCTTTCTTTTTCTCAAAAATTCTTTATTTAAAGCCAGGTTATCATGGTTAGAGTATTTGTAAATGTAGAAATCAATACTGCATGGTGTCTATCAGTTTCATGCTATATCAATGGTCTTGATATGACAGAGAAATGAGAATGTTAATATTTGGTACAAGCTACATATCATGATCATTTGTCCTTTGACCAAGTTTGGTTATAGGGATACTTCAAACTTGACGAGTTCCCTCCATATATATGGATTGAAAACTATATACACTCACATGTAGCACATCTTAAGCAAGTAGATTTGGCAGAGCCTATCCCTCATCAGGTTAAACCACAGTCAATGCCTGCATTGGTCACAGATATGTGACTGCTGATGCCTTCAGGAGAACCCTCTGCCTTGGCCATTGATGTCAGTGCAGGAAACCATTAATCCAGCAATGCTATGTCCTCACTGCACTGGCTATGTACACCTTTGTGCAAATTAATTGAAACAAAATAAATAATTGTTATTATTTACTTTTTTCACATTTTTCCAATGAAACATGCCCCAGTGCACATGTTAGTACTTCGTATGTCCATTTAATGAATTCATTCCTTGCAGATTAACCACAGATTCTCAAGTGGATTTAAATCAGGAGAGTTTCCAAGCCAGTCTATAGTACTTTGATTTTCTCACTGGTAACGCTTGCCAGTGTGTTCATGCAGCATTACAATTTTCGTATGCTTCCTTGGGGTAACGTCCATCACAGGCAATGGCTGTAGGACAACTAATCAACAGTTGAGACAATAGCATCTGGATGTGATAAAAATCTGATGCAATCATGGATGATGCAATATTTTTCAAGGCTAAACAAATTTCATCATACACTCCAAAAATAGATTCATATTACTGCACACCACTAAAAATGACCTAATCTGAGAAAAAACAGAAATTGATTACATCCTGTCCCTCAAGTGGGTCCAAAACTGACCGTATGGTGAAAGTAAGGAAACTAAAGCGGTTGTTTCAATTAATTTGCACAAGGGTGTACATAGCTATGGAGGCCAGCCTACTCCATTGTGTTAGATGATGGTTCATCATCCTTTTGATTGATCTTGTTTTTAATCCTGCTGGATATCTAGTCACTGTACTCACCAGAAAAGCTTGATGGGAGATGCAGGTAGTACTAAGTTACATGGTAACAGTAGAACTAATAGAGTGACCTAACATAACAAGTCACATAACATTACATTAAGAAGCCTTGCATTTATGGTTTGTTAAAGATGTGTTGTCAAGTACGAGGCATACAGTGTGTTTATGTGAAGTTGAATCTAAAATTCACTAGCCCAAGATTTGAGAGTAGACACAGAATTTCATTAGAAATAAAGAAAAGAATATTGAACTGTTATGTAATAACAGACCTCTTATATGGCAGTAAATGCTGGACAATTTCCTCGCAGATGGAGAAGAGACTTGAAGCAACAGAAATATGGTTCTACAGAAGGATGCTGAGAATATTATGGACTCAACATGTGAATAACTATGAAGTTTTAAAGAAAACGGAAACAAAAATCACTCTTATACTTAACAGAAATTTCTAAGGCACATAATGAGGAATGAGGGCTTAGAAAATTTGATACTCACAGGACAGATTGAAGGCAAGACAGCAGAGAGAGGAAAATAATGCATAACCTACCTAGCAAGCTTGAGTAAATAGTTGACAGAACAGAGTTTAGGAAAGATAACAAAAAGAAAAACTTTATTAAGAGCTACAAAGGGCAGGAAATTGTGGAGAGCCGTGTTTAGTTTGGTTTGTTTTGTTTTACAGCATATCAATCTCAATGCGTTATTTAATGCCAACAAAATTTTTATTGCTGGTAATATTTTTTTTTCAAAAATGTATTGCTGGTAATGTTTTTTTTTTTTCTTCAAAAATCTATTTCTGGTAATATTTTTCTTCAAAAATCTATTGCAGTTAATATTTTCTTTTTTCAGAAATCTATTGCAGGTAATTTTTTTTTTTTTCAAAAATCTATTGCAGGTAATATTTTTCCCAAAATGTATAGTTGTAATATTTTTTCCAAAGAAATGTATTGCTGGTAATATTTTGTTTATAATAATTCTCCTTTAAAAATGTATTGCTGGTAATAATTTTTTTCTTCACAAAAGCATTGCTAGTAATAACTTTTCCTACAAAAATGTATTGCTGGTAATAATTTTTCTTTCAAAATTGTATCTTCAATAATTTTTCCTTCAAAACTATATTGCTGGTAATAACTTTTTCTTCAAAAGCTGTATTGTTGGCAATAACTTTTTCTTCAAAAATGTATTGCTGGTAATAATTTTTCCTTCATAAAATTATTGCTGGTAAAAAAAAAGAAAAAATTCTCAAAAATGTATTTCTGGTAATAATTTTTCCCTGAAAAACGTATTACTGGTATTAATATCTATTTTTACACCTTGTGGAGAGCCATTATTGCCAACATGGACATGGCATATAAAAGAAGCTCAATACCAGTTATTAACTAAATTTTGATCTAAAACTTACACAGGATTATGTTTGATCTATGTGACTAATGGAGAAATACTGAGTTAAGTGTATTGAGACGGCTGGAGAATGTGTTGAAAAATTGTTGTATAAATGAAATGCTTTTTTCTTCATTAGGTTGGTTGACTGTTTGGTAGATTCATTTTTTGCAGATTATCAACCCATTGCAGTTATTTAAAGGCAGAAAGTATTTTTAGATTGTCAGAATTTGGGGGGGGAAATAATAATGTTTTAGTGATACATGCATAACTGGGGAGCGGTAGATTCATACCTTTCCCAAGGATACATATGTGAATATAACAAACCCAACAGGATTTGGAACTCCGGTCTCCAGTTAACAATTCCAAGTCATTATCCATTACACAACTCACACATCCACATTTACAGCACTTGGTATTCCCAAGCAGTCACCCATCAAGGTACTGACCAGGCTTGACCTTCCTTAACTTCTGTGATTGTATAGAAATCTGTGTCTCAACATGATGTGGCTCTTCTTCATTGGGCTAAAGTCTTATTGATGTACCTTTGTATAATAAGAAGGAATGGAGAATAAAATATCAGGAATTTATTATAAAAGACCAATCTTACCAATATCTGCATACACAATGTCTTCTGCATGTTCTGTAGTAGAAACCACCTCACCCCTGAAAAAGTAACAGATATATAATGTCAATTTTCTATGTTTGCATAGCAAATAAATGGTTAAAGAGAAAATATGAATTACTGATAGAATCTAATGTTTTACATATGAAAACTGTAGTAAAGAAACTAGTCTATCAGAGACATACAGTGACATGCAAAAGTATGGAACATTTATTTTTTTCTTACTAAGGTTCAACCAATATAAGGCCTAGAAGCCATTCAAGGTAGAGTGAACATAGGTGGAGCTAGAAATAAGTGAACATTATGATGATATAAATTATAAATAATTTATAAATTAGGGAAGATAAGAGATTAAAAACAAGCTACATATCTAAAAGGCAATCTGTATCCATCTATAAATATATATTCATATAACACTTTACAGTGAGCAATATTTTGAGCCAAGGTAAAGTAAACAGATACTTGATACTGGGCAGAATAAATATGTAAATAATCCAGTCATTTTTTTAAATATGTAAATAATCCAGTTCATTTTTTGATCCATACATAAAATAACCCCATCATTTTTGACAGGCATTATGAACCATACATAAAATAATCTGATCATTTTAACAGTTATTATGACACATGTATAATATAACCCCATCATTTTCTACAGGTATTATGATCTATGCATCAAATAATCCTATAATTTTTTATGATCCATGAAAAAATAATGTGAACATTTTTGACAGGTATTATGACCCATGCATAAAATAACCCCATCATTTTTGACAGGCATTATGATCCATACATGAAATAATCTGATCATTTTAACAGCTAATAGATGTGTAATATAACCCCATCATTTCTGACAGGTATTATGATCCATGCATGAAATAATCCCATCAATATACTGTAAGAAAAGTTAGATGCATAGCTGATTAATTTTTTTACCATCACTAACCCCAGCATAGAATTTGTTTTCTTTCCTTACACCTCTTCACTTTAAGGAAGTACAAATTCTTCTTGGCATATTCAGATTGCCAGAATCACCACCCTTGCACCTAGGAAGCATTATTAAGTAAAACTTATAGATTATTTATTTAGATGGGGAGTCAACTATGAATAAGTGAAACCAGAGTAAGGTAAACAGTGGATATGGAGGGACTGTGAATAAAATACTTGTTTATTTCACTCACCAAGGATTAATGACAGTGGTATGTCCCCAGGCAACATAAGAGGCTGTCTCACATCGGGCAGGAGATATGGTAGCGACATACAATTGGTTATCAATGGCTCTCGCACGTTGTAGAAGTTCCCAATGAGCAGGACCAGTTGTCATATTGAATGCACCCGGGTAGATTAGTAGCTTACAGCCTGCATTAGACAAAACAATCATAAAATTTTGTAAACACTATTTCTACAATAAACTACTTTGTTCCGCATGCTTCCAAAAAATACATTAAATATTCAGATTAAAGAATTGGTGAAAGTATATCTGGTTTCCTTGCAGGAACAAATTCAATGCCTGAGTTTGGTAGTGTAGAAAAGTCATACACATTGGTTCAGTTGAAGAAACAGACAAGTGACACAAAAACAAAATAGGTTAATGAGAATTAAGTGAAACAAGATATTCCACAAGCACAGAAAATGAAATGAGAACAATCAACTCTATTGACTGAATAAAGGGTATTGCTAAAAATTTCAAAGGAAGTTACTGAGTAAAATAAACATCTGAACAGGGACAGAGAGTACAAGTCTGAAACATTGTGAGTATAACAACCAAGATAAGGATCTTAGTCCAAATAAAAAGGCATATAATAAAGATAAATTCTCATCTCAAAATTTTCCAGCATAGAATTAACAGATACTTTATATTTTTAACTGTCTTTAGTATTCATTATATAAGATAAAGACATTAAACACATCACAGGGTTGCCATAAGGGTACTTTTGTTCAACACCATAATATGCTACAAAACTAAAATATTAACCTGAAAACTAAAGTCATGTTCTTAAATAGCTTTGGTACATCTTTCATATGGACACTATGCATGGCATCACATTCATTCAGAAATCTCTAAACTATCATCTATATACAACTGCTTTCAAAGCTCAATGATTCCATATGGCTTCAAACAATCCTTCAGGTTTTAAAGAAGATAACCCTTCTTCAGATCTTGTAGACTGGTGCTACAGAAGTGCAATGGCTAATTTTGCCATTACCATAAGAATATAATGGAAATGATTTTACTATAAGAAATCACTGGAAATGATTTTACTATAAGAATGCACTGGAAATGATTTTATGATAAGAAAACATTGGAAATGATTTTACTATAAAAAAAACATTGGAAATGATTTTACTATAAAAAAATCATTGGAAATGATTTTACTATAAGAATTCATTAGAAATGATCAACAATTTTACTATAACAATGCATCAGGAATGATTTTACTATAGGAATTAATATTAGAAAAAGCTATAATGTTTAGTGGAGTTGTATAATAAGAGTTCACAAAGTTCTAATTTCTATGTACACACATACAGTCTCCTTGCAAAAATCCTCCTGGTCAGTAAAGTCAGTTGCTTTTATAGCAGTTTGGTGGACCCTTTCCAGGTTTTCTATTTGTGGAGCATAGAAATGGATTAGCATATTTTTCTATGCAATCTATTCCACTCAGTGATACTTGAACCACAGTTGGTTAGCAGAAGCTAATTTAAATGACCTCACTAATCTTATTCAGTGAGAAAGCATTTTTCTTTCTTTTTTCTTCTGCAAAAGGAGCATGTGAAACAAAAGCATTTTGGCCTTCAGGGTATGTCACCATTTCTGTACAGAAGTCTACTTTCTTGGAAAGCAGTTTCAAGAAAAATATTTTATAAATTTTAGCCAACACTAACACTGTTCAATCAGTCAATGCCAAATATTTCCTGTATGAAAACGGCTAATCCAACCTTATAAATACAGACATACAAATGATTAAAATGTTTTTTTGCATATTATTATTCTTTAATTACATGACAAACATATTATCTCTACAAATAATTTTAAGAAAAACATGCTTTTCTGCTTTCAACTATTGCAGATTCCTTACCGTTTTTGGCATATATTTGTGCCATTTCAGCAAATCTGATATCATAACATATTCCAACACCAATCTTGCAAAATGCTAAAATAAAAAGAATTTCAGTTAAAATGTTTTTATTTTCATTAACAAGTAAATGAAGACAAATTTTTAAAATATTTTAATAATTGTGATTAAAATGGACATATAAAAACAACAGAAAAGAATAGCAAAAAAGTTTACCCATACTGACATACACCTGATGAAGGCCAGAGGGTACAACAGCCAAAAAACTGTGATAATGACAACAAAAATGAGGACAATAGTCTGTATGTAAATAATGTCAATAATGATAATTCCTTATCCCAGAAACTCAGAGAGGAAAAAAAAGAAGTTCACATGTACATATTTTTTGTCCTTGATTGAGCTCTGATGAGAGATGATGAAGAACCATTAAAGTGATTTTTTTTCTTTTTTATTAATTTACTTATTCTTTATTACCACCTTATTATAATATAAACTTCTTTTTTGTTCTTTCATGTTGTTTTAATATATTTGTTTTAATCTCAGTTTTTCAAATTATTCAATACCAAAGAACGTGATTTTGAAAAACTGAAATTGATGGCATATACAAGAAGCTACTGAAGCATTCTCATTAACAACACACTTAGCAAAATCTAACCAAATGTGTAAGCATCAAATTTTGTTTTTAAACATTTCCCAGTTAGCTTGAGAAGATTTCAGCAAATACCTTATAAGCCTTCTCTACACATGCTTTTTATATTAATATTAAAGTACTAGTATACCCATGACATCAAAAATGCCAGCATTTGTTAGAAAGATTTAATAGTGAGAAACAAAAGGCTTGAAACAATGTAAGGAAATTCAATAACGCAGAGATAAAGAATTCACAACTGAAAGAGAGGTCAATGAACCATTTAATTAAACTGTTCCATTTATATTTTTAGACATTCAATAGCATCTATGATTCAGTGATTACTCCTGTTATTATATCATTCACTTCTTGCTCAATATCTTTTCAAGTTAAAAATTTTAATAGATTAATATAATAATGAAATGGCAATATCATTCAGAAGAAAAAGTTTAACAACAGAACGACAGCGATGACAAAGCCTATGTCAAGACCAAATTGAAGCAAGATATTCACTTAATAGACAAAGCTATCAGAGTACCTTACATGAAAGACTTGAACAAATAAGATTGCAATCTAAGAAACCTAGGAGTAAAGGAACTGATTAACTAAATAGTTCATTTTGCTCATGAACTAATGTGAAATGTGCATATTTCTTGTCATTGATTTAGATCTGATGAGAGAGGAATGACTAAACATTAAAATTGTTTTTCTTTTTAGTTAATTTATTTTTTAATATTACAACTTTATTGTAATTTAAACTTCTTTTTTGTTCTTTCCTGTTGTTTTAATATATTTGTTAGAATCTCAATTTTTCAAATTATTCAATACCAAAGAACAATATTTAAAATACTGAAATTGATGACCTATAGAAGAAGCTACTAAGGTATTCTCTTCACAACCCACTTAGCAATATCTGACCAAATGAGTAAGCTTCAGATTTTCATTTTCATCACTTCTTGGTCAGGTTGAGAACTTTTCAGCACTCACCTTAAAAGTACTAGTGTACTCATGCCATCAAAAATAACAGCAATTGTTAAAAAGTTTTAATAGTGAGAAACAAAATACTTGAAGAAATCCGACTGGACTGTAAGAAATGTAGGATTAAAGGAACTGATTATTTAAATGGTTCATTTTGCTCAGGAACTAATTTTGTCTAAATGCAGATAATTATTTTATTAGTGGAGATTATTAAAACGACTAAGGGAAGTAATCACTCATAAATTTACTAACTTAAGTTTATTTACCTCCCTTCCCGCTACTGATGGTTTAGGAAACATATAAATAAATACACAATATTTTTTTTAATCAATTCCCCGCAAGAAAGGCAATAATGCCACTAAGATGCAAGGGACTACTGGAAACAAAAGAGACTTTAGGAAAAACCTGAAACCCAATCCCAAACAGAAAACAAGGGATAAATCTCTACACGTGTTCAAAAGACTGGTGCAGAGTATAAATCAGATGATAGGTGAACCTATCTACTCCCATAAATAAATATACATTGATAATTATTATATGGCTTGATTATGGAGCTAGGCTTGGTAATTGTTGCTTAGTGTCTTTTTTCAATACTAAATTTCACCAGATACAAAGCTCAAGAGCCACTTAAGGTAGAGTGTTACTGAATAAAGTGTTTGATATTAATCTAAGTGGAGGTGGGAGGAACTGAAGATTATGAAGATGAGGAGGATAGATAGCAACTGACTCTTAACATGAAGAGTTTAAGATTGTAGTGTTCAAAGAAGTATCCATGTAGGAGTTTGTTCCACAAAGTAGCAGTTCTTGGGAAAAAGCTGTCTGAATGGAACTTCCTCCTTACAAATGGAATACAGAGGAAATGTGGAAGATGCAACTCCATGTATGTGGTAGGGTGAGTCCTAGCTGTAAAGGTCTGAACTCGTGGAACTATAGAGTGGAGCTCATCTAAACATCTGCCAAGGAAGTGGCAGCAGCTTATTGATAGGCTTGCAACTTTGTGACTGTGAAGAAAAGGGCGGTAGGATGGAAAATAAGTCATCTTTTACAAGATATAAAAATTAGACCAATGGTAGGTTAATATTCTGTCTTCTTAATTCCTGTTCTTTTATTGTTTCCTATCTTTAATAATGTTTTCTTTTTCTCATATTCTCAGTAACCACCCCACTTGCATCTTAGTGGCTTTATTGTCTTGCTTAGAGTAAAATAATTAAAAAGAAAATAGTTAAGAGAAAAATAATAAAAAGATAAAATGCATAATTTAATATTTTATTTAATTATAAAAATTTATTTATATATTATTTAATAAAATCAGTGTAAACATGCAAAATACATACGTGTATCAAAATTGGTCAGTTTGCTTCCAGGGCTCAATGTTTCAGACTCTTTGAACCGAATTTTACCAGGAACATCAATATCAAAAAGGTGAACCTGGTCAAGAAACAATAACATATGTCATTCCACACACATTAACACCTTTACAAATAAGATGACATCAAGTATAATTTTATCTCTGGTTGATAAATTTTTAATATATATTAACCCTTTCATTGCCACAGCACATAAAACCAACTTGTATTATCCAAATTTTAAAAAAGAATGTAAAATTTTCAAATAATATTGATTTGACACTTCCCAAGGTTGACTATGGAGGTAACAGCATTTTTTTTCTGCTTTTGTTTGGGCAGGTAAAGTGGTTATTCAAGTGATTTGTCCAATTTCTCACTCTCACATGACCTTCCTCATCAACCATCATGGCAGGTTAGTTACAAAACATTTTGAGGTAGAAAGCAGGTTTTAAGTGAATTCCCATCTTTCTCAAGAACATTAATATCATGTTGACATAATCAGCCAATTTCATCATCTGTGCTGATAACAATAATGTCATCCCCACATCTCTGATAATATAAAGTTTCTATTTCCCCATTTTTCATCATCCCTTCTGAATCATTCAACAGTGGCATATTACTGTACCCAAAAGTGATTTAAAAGATCTAGATCATGCATATAAATTCAGTAATTTCAACATGACCAGAGTATATTACTACTTGAGACATATAGCAACTACAAAGCACTCAAAAAGTGCATACTCATGCTAATGATATCATCGCTAAAAACTGAATCCAAATCAGTTCGTATATACAATTCAAGGGAGGTAACTGTGTTCGTTTTGACTTTTCTATGTATTTCAGGCTTAATATATGAAATATCACTCATGCAGATACAATGAAGTGGGGTAACTGTACATTTTGACTTTTCTGCATATTTAAAGCTGTTGTCTTCATATATGAAATATCACTTAACTGAAAATCAATTTGTGAATCCCATCTAGAATTTAATCAAATTTTTGTTAACTATAGCAAACCTTTCCACAAAATGTCACTGAAATTGATTGAGGACCTTTCAGGATATTGTTGGGACAAAAATGAGTGAATAACTTTATGCAAATAAACAAAAAAATATAGGGAGTAATTTGTGCCCATCTTTGTTGGTAAAGGTAAAAAATGCCTCACATTAAACTATTTACAACTATAAGTTCTATTTAAACTAAAACAGAAAAATGTACCAAGAATACATCATAGCATATAACATCAGTATTGTAACAGACATATAACGTAAATTACCTTTTGATGAGTTGCAATCATTTCTCCAGCTGGATTAAATATAGGACAAGTATTAAACAATTTACCATTTTTGGATTCAGGTAATGAACCTGAAATAATAAAAGAAAAAAAATACTTTTTAAATATATATTAGTCTAAAAAAATATTTATTTTAAGCAATATTTATTTTTTACATTATCTCTTTCTTTGTTAATGTACTCAATCCAAAACTTGTTCATTAATCACATAAATCAAACATTATAAAATAAAAAGGGTGAAGGGACAAAAGAAAAAAAGATTTGCTGATGTGATATAAAGAAACAATGAATGAAAGATTGAAAAGCAGGTTGTGGTGGAAAGGCATAAAAATTGTTATATATAAAAATTTTGTTTAGAAAGAGATAGAGCAAAAAAAAATAAAACAAGATACGGTAAAAAGAATATTTATGCATTCTTTATTCCTTTTCACATACAAAATGAATCCATGCTTGAGAAACACTTAGATAAAAACATGGACATTAAAATGCATAAGGGAGTAAATGAGAAGATACAGGCAGGGGGTGAGATAAGAGCAGAAGCATAAGATGACAGATAAGTTATCAGCACCCATGGAATTTCTATTGTTTCAGTTAGTTTTTATTATTTCATCAGATGATTTGTTTTTACTACTTGACTAAAAACTATGACTATCTTACCAAAATAATAGTATATACTAAAATATACTTACACGTAATTAATAATTATAATGAATTCAAGATAATATTAATAAAAAAATATTTAAATTACTTATATTCAGACTATTGTCCTTATCTTTCTATCATTAACAGAGCAGTACTGAACAAAACAAGATATGACTGAGTAATTGGTTCATTTTCTATTTTTTTATCAACCACTGAAGGTTATTTAAAGCCAGAAAATATTTTTATATTGTAAAAAAATTTTCTTGAAATAATAATGATTTAGTGATACAGATCTTACTAATTAACCCATAGTGGGGGAGAAGAGGTGGACCTTTCCCAAAGGTATTTGTACATAAGTGAATATAACAAACCCAACAGGAATTGAAATTCATCTCCCTGATTAACAATTCCAAACCATTACCTCATTACACCACCCACTCATCTAAGTTTACAGCACCTAATATTCCTAAGTGGTCACCCATGTAGGTACTGACCAGGATTCACATTGCTTAACTTTGTTAATCATACGGAAACCTGTGTTTCAATGGGATAAGTCCATAAGTTAAAGACAAGATATTCCTAAACATGGACAGCAGAATGTGGACAGTCTACCCCCGTAGATTAAATAACAGTTTTCTGAATGTTACCCAGATCAACAAGCACCTGAAAAAAACAGAGGGCACAATAGCCAAAACATTGTGACCAAAACAACAATGAGGACATTAGTCTGAATGTAAATAATGTAACTATTAACTCATCCTAAAAATTCAGACAGAAAACACCAAAATAGTCATTAAAAATCAATCACACATCTCATTTGTTAAGCAAATATTAATTGTCTACAAGTATGATTTTGTAAGTTAATCCTATCCATTATGTTTTAAAAATTGACTTGATAGACACATCTTTTTTTGACATGGAACAATATTTTCATAATTAACATACAATAATATATTTTATAGAAAATAATTTTTCTTTAACATTAAAAAATATTTTAGAAATTAATATTTAACTAATAGTACCCATGAAAATTTTAATGGTTTTCCCATTTTAATTTTCTGATGAATCTTAATTCTTAATTTAATCACAGAATAAACCCTTTGAAATTCTAGGAGTATAAACTACCTCAGGAAATTCCTGTTATATCATTAAATATTTGAGATTAACAACATTAACCAAATATTGCAATAATAATCATAAGTATGATTGCAGGTTATTATTTAATGAAGAGGGTACAAATGAAAAGATTTAAAGTAACAAAGTTTTCCATTTCACTAAAGCAGATGTTAAACACATGAGAACATTATCACCTCTTATAGTTATGTATGCTTTCCTTTTTTCTTATTAAAACCAAACAATGTCTCTGATATATCTTTGTTTTCCATCTTTCAAAATGGGATGGTGCATTACTTATCTGAGGCAATGGCAGTATTTAACATATGAGCTAACTTATGTAGGAACATAAAGAATTATAATATGATAATAATTAATAATATATTGTATTTTTTGCCAAAATTACATCTATTCAAGAAATTAAACTGACAAAACTTTAGATCAATCATCGGAAAAACACTCACCTCCAACCAGAAAGATATTATTTTCCTTGGCAGCTTTACTCAGCACTTCTGTAGAATTCCCAGGTATCTCTTCAGCATATTCAGAAAAATAACTTGTTCCATACGGAGAATTGAAACATTCCTTTTTAAATGCAGTAATTCATTTATTTTGTCAGAAAATAAAAAAGAAATAAAAATTTATTATGTAATTATAAAAGGATTCTATTACAAATAACAAAATCATCGTCATGAATGAAAAGAAAAGTACACTATCGTGGCAATGCAGTTGATGTAGCAGTTAAGAACAAGGGAACAAATGCTTAAATCAGCTCCATTTGCCACTTTTTTTTAATCATTTCACCCCCAAGAAAGGAGATAATGCTACTAAGGTGCAAACAAGAACTAGGAGTGAAATAGAAAAGACAATAAAAAAAAAATATAGAATTCAGGAAGACAGAAGATGGCAACTGACACTGCATTTAAATTTTTGAAGATTGTAGGTGGCAGTGAAGAAAGAAATTGGAAGGCAGTACCACAGGCAAGAAGTACAAGAAAAGAAACTATTAGAATAGGACGTAGTTGCATGTAGTGAGTTCAACAGTGAGACCTAATTGGCAGCCTAGTAGCATGCTTAAATTCATGCAGTCAAAGCACCAAGGAAAAATCTCATGAGAACAATTACTATGAAAATATTTATAGAAAAGACAGAGGAGAGCCACGTCAAGTCAATGAAAAAGGGTGTGAAATTGAGGCACCAGGTCAGGATCAATTACATTACAGACATGTCTTTAAATTTTGTCAAGAATTTTGAGATATATAGGAGGACCACCAGACCAGATATGGCAGCAGTATTCAATGCATGAATGAATGGTAGATTTATAAATATGTAAGATGGATTCTGACAAGAAAAATTCTTTGGTATGACACAGTGAACCAACTTTTCTAACAGTAGACCTAAAAATTGATTCAATATAATCAACAACACTTCATGTCAATGGAAATGCAATACAATATTTATCATTTACCAGTTTATAAAGAAATAAATGTGAAAACAATTTTTATTTATAAACATTTACTAAATTATTAAAATATGTGAACTATAAGAAAATGCTTTTATAAAGTTCAAAGCAATTGGAAATTAGCTAATGTTTTGCTAACCATTTCAATAAACAATCTAATAAATAGTGTTTGTAAGGAGACAAAAGATGATTATCTCCCTTTAGACAAAATAGTCACATGATGGCTACTTAGTGATGTCAATCTATACAGTGATGAAAGCAGCAGTCAATTTCAGTTCGTTTACAGCAGCCAAACTGAGCAGGCCCCAGGCTGAGGCTAAATCTGCCTCCTCCAGCAAATGCTACAGTTTACAAGTCCATGGTGCCTTTTCCCTATGAAAATATGTCTTCCCCATATAACTCCCTCTTATTTACCTGACATGTGATATTATTATCCCCATTAACAGTTGAATATGATGCATTATTATTTAGCTCCATTATGTTTATTACTTTTGTTATCAATTCTCAAGAATAAAGAAAATGTATAAATTCACTTTCATCATTTGTTTAGGTTTTATTAAAATTTTAATCATTGCTTTCTAAAACAATAAACTTTGCTCAGGATTGAAGGTAATTAAAATAATGGCAGTGTCATGGGAAAAACCATCATTTTGACTCTCCATTTTTTATGGATATGAAGGTGTTTGCCAAAACTCTCTTCCTTTTTTGTCCCCAGATGTAGTAGTAACAACACAGCATTCTCCTACTCCAGAGAGACTTCTTACTTGACTAGCAAACTACATTTCAAACAATCCATGTGAACATCATAACATAAAAGCTGATAAATAATGGATACTCCAGCAACTTGTATAGTAATTTTTATACAAAAATTAAGCAGCCTGAGTCGTGGTCAAAAGTCTAAGTTGCTTAATAAAAACTAAAATATTTTCAAAAATAATGTAATACAACAAACTTATGAATGAATTACACAGATCAACAAAAAAATTTTTTTAAATGGTGTCAAGACACCAAACATCTTTTTTAGCTAATCTGAGGTGCTGAATCTGAAAATAACCTTACTTTTTCTTGGTTAGCTACAGTTTTAGCTGTACTGAAATGCCTCATTTTGGGGGAAAAAAAAGCATTTTTTTTCATTTGTTTTCTGCATATATGATATTGACCAATGGCAATATTGCTCAAAATAAAATCATAGAAACCTCTCAATTCATATTTAAACCAACAAATATTGGTCTGCTTATTGAGAAATGCTATTTTTGCAATAATGATCAGATCCTAAGTTTTCAAAAATAACAGAATTGAATATACCAAGACTAACTAATATTTTCATCAAATCATTTAATAAACAGCAGAAATAAAACCTTTGTGAACTATGGTAAAACTTTTCTCTTTCTTGATTGTCTGTCATGTCCAGTGTTATTTAAGTCCCTTTTGATACACCAGCAGTATCATGTACAATGGAATATGTGCATTCAATTGGGATGTCTTTAGTTGAAGTTTCTTTCCAACTGTGAAAACAAAATGCTCTCAATGTGCATGGTTTCCTTCTGAAGTGATGAGATACATTTATGAATATCAAACAAGATTTTAGGGTTCCATTTTTTTGATGTCACCTTAATTATTAGGTTTACTAAAGGGTATTACTGATAAAGTTTATCAGTTAATTTGAATTTTGGTGATAATTTGGAAAAATTTGCTACTTCTATTTTAGAATTTTTGACTCAAAAACACTTTTCTTATAAAAAAATAGTTTGTTTCAGGTGGTTGACATAAATTGCTCAGCCTACCTGAAAATTAATGGGTTTCTATGACCTTTATTAACTAAATTTTACAATCAACCAAGATCATAAATTGACTTTTTTTCCAAAAATGAGGAATTTCAGTACAGCAAAAACAGTAGCTAACCATGAAAACTTAAGGTCCTTTTCAGAATCGTCATCATCAAAGTAGCTAAAAAAAGTGTTTTGTTTCTTGGCCATAATGAAATTGGAAAGATAGGGTTTGATTATCAAACAAGGGGTGTATATTATGCATGAGTAGAAGCATTTTCCCACACTTTCACCACAATTTTAGGGGTGCATATTATGGATGAAGGTGTATTATACATGGGGAATTACAGTATTTAACATTTTATAAAGAAATAAAGTTAAAACAAAAACTTTTTATTCAGAAATTTACAAAAAAAATTACAAAATGATCAAGTGTCCCATAATTCCTAGTACAATATGAAGAAGGCATTTTTGCCACTAAAATAAATTTCAAAATTTTCATCATCATGTATTTTAATATCCTTTATAAATCACAGGGTGAAATGAAGATTTACTTTAAATGAGCACAAATAAACTTACAGGCAGTGCAACAATTTTTGCTCCCTTTTTAGCGGCTTCTTTTATTTTCAGGGCAGCATTTGCCAAATTATCAGATTTTGAGGCAGACACAGCCAATTGGATCAAGGCAAGTCTGAATTCTACAAAAAATAAAAAGAATATTAAAAAATGCAAAAACTGTGTGGGTGATACAATCACATATGCAATATCTGATCACTAGCAAGATATATAACAATCATGAAGCTATAGAAAAATAATGTGTGCGTATATATATATATATAATGTCATCCACAGACAGACTGTTTCGCTGTTTCACAGCTCATCAGTGTGGCTAGACATCCGGTTGCCTCTAGCTAGGATCGAAACCCGACTGAATTGGTGTCAGTCAGAGATTCTAACCATTAAGCCGTCGGCGCACGGTAGGGATGAAGGTGGATTTTAGTGTATTTATTATTAGAAACACGCCCAGTGACCGACAGTGACTCAATTCACTTTTGCGAAGAGTCTCGCTATATAGCTATAATAGTCACTGTTTACCAACCCACACCTCCTCCCCAGAGAGCTCAACTGAGCTGCCCTATTGGGTGGCATTTAAGCTTGCTCCTTAATTTAAAGACAATTTGATGTACATAGGTCCTTACTTTCCATACAAACAATTATTTTATTTCATTGGTGACTTTCATTGGATTTTGCAATTAATTTCAATTATTCTGAAATTTCTTTCCAAGTTATAAAAATTGTTATCATACAAAAAAAATCTGTTGCAAAAAATCATACCAAAAACAATCAGTGTAATGAAAATTTGAGAGTCCAAAATTTCAGGATTGCAGGTCCAGATCCAACTCAGAATGTTTTAATTTGCTCATATAGTAAGACTGATTCCAAAATGGTATATGTTGGGCTATGGCTTCTCGGAGAAAAATTGAAAGTGTGACAAGTGACATTCTCACTTATTATATAGGTATATATAGGATTAATGCAAATAAAATTTGTCACTTAATTGAATGGTATTATATTCAGCCCCTATATATATATATATTAAAGAATATCAAACGCTTAAAATCCTATAGGTAATAATTTTTATTTCATGAGAGCTCTAAAAACAGTAGCTCTCAATCTTCAAGACCTACAAACAAATCACAAATGGAAAAAAATATTCCAGGTTAAAAACAATAGATATTGCTATCTTTTTAGAGAGTGGGCAAAAAGGTAGAGTGTGTTGACCTATTTTGACACACTGACCTCAGTATGTCATTTGAGGATGGTGGAAGGGCTGAAAGTGTATTTAGTTCATTGTGAATCTGAAACAATCCTGTCAGAAATAATCAGGATTGTTTCAGTGTTTGATATTCTTTAATTAATAATAATTTTGCCGCCTTTTGACATAGAGCTCTCCCTGGATCTATATCCACCTGGAACTTCTATACAGATTACCATATTGTATCATTACTATATATATATATATATATATATTGTTCCAGTTGTGTTCAGCCTGAACAAGGCCCAAGGGACACTCAGAGTAGAGTATTACACAGTAAGTGGCACAGCATATACAGCTATGTGTGGAAGACAATGGTTAATGATAGGCTTGAACAGTTTAAGCTTATAGTGACCATGGGAGCAACCTCCTGGGAGTTGGTTCCACAAGGCAGTGGTTTGTGGGAAGAAGCTGCTTGAATGGAACTTACATCTCAGCAGGGGGAATACAAAGGGAAATAGGGTAGTACGCTACAATGTGCATGGCATGGTCTGTAGTTAAGGAGTGTAGTTCATCTGAAAACTCTTCATGAAAATAGCAATAGAGCAGCGAAAGGCTTGTGACATCTTATCTGTGAGAAAAGGGTTGCAGAGTCAAAAATAATTTCTAACCTACAAGGATACAGAAATGCTTTTGGACTCTATCGACAGTGGAAATTTGGTTTGATTTGTTTTGTTTTAAGGCATATCACAATGGGTTATTTAAGGCCAACAAAATTTCCTTTTTTTTTCAAAAATGTATAGCTGGTAATATCCTTTTTTAAAAAATGTATAGTTTGGTTTGTTTTGTTTTGTGACATGGGTTATTTAATGCTGACAAGATTTTTATTTCTGGTAATATTTTCTTTTTTCAAATATTTATTGCTGATACTAATTTTCTTTTAAAGTATTTCTGGTATTAAAATCTATTTTTACACTTTAATAGTGCTTTGAGTCAGGTTGTGGGGTCAACTATTTGCCCATAGCTAGAACCCTAATAGGTGCTACCACCCCAGGTCAGGGTGGACCTGGGAACACCAGCAATTAAAAGGTGGTTCCACACTCCTCAAAACCTCTTGATCTCGAGGCCTTGCTGTTGGACATAGTTTATCGTCTTACCCAGGATGTGGATGCAGTTTATCATCATACCCAGGACACTTACACAAGTTTGGGTGTTAACAGTTTGCCCATAGCTGGGACCCTTACAGGTGGAACTACCCCGGGTCAGGGTAGACATGGGAACACCAGCAATTAAGAGGCAGTTCCATGCTCCTCAAAACCTCCTGATCAGAGGCCTTGCTACTGGATGTAGTTTATCGTCATACCCAGGACGGGACAGTGGAAAGTGAAGACTAATCAGCTCCAATCCATATATGACAGCAGTGCTCCATTTCTGGCCAGATTTGTCTCTTGTAAAGGTAGAGGAGAGCAGCAGGAGTGAGGTACTTGTTGGAGCAGTACAAGGAACCAACCATTTTCCCAGCATCTTTAGAGATGAATCATATGTACAAGTTCCACTTGAGGTCTGGATTGAGTTTAAGTTCCAATAAGCACTCAAGGCATGAACCTCCCTGAGGGATCATCCATTCATTACAATTAGTGAAAGTTCTGGGTCAAATCTGTGATGATGGTAGGTCACAAGTTTGGTTTTTGGGGCATTAAATGTGACCAGACAGTTTTTCCCACTGTTAGAGCTAGATCAGAGAAGAGATCAGCTGTTAAGAATGCCTATATATATATATATATATATATATATATATGAGTGAACATTGAAGTCAACATTCAGAGGCAACAGGCTGTTGTTTCATGCTAGACACAATCGTCAGGCCACAAATGTTAGGTTTTTCTCAACTATTTATATATATGGGTCAATGGTGCATTGTGGGTAATCCATTTTGGCAGTTATTTTGGCAGGAGTGACTTGCTTTTACTTATTTTCATTTTTATTTTATATATTTATTTATTCTTTTCAGTTTTCAATATTTTATTAACGTAGTAAAAAATTGGAGAAGGATTTGCTTAGGTTGCTTATTTAATAGTTTGTTTTGGTCTGGGAAGATAATTAAAGTTATTTATTCATCCAATTTTTGGATTGATTGCTGTAGTCTATTCTGTTATTTTGGCAGGGGGTAGTTTTTAGTTTGTTTTTTATTTTATTTATTTATTTGGATTGATTATTTTTACTTGTTTTTGCTTATTTATTTTTATTTGTTCTAACTAGCAGGTGTAGTTTGTTAATTTGTTCATTTATTTATTTATTTAGATTAATTTATTTCATTTGTTTTTTCTTATTTATTTACTTATTTTTTTTTTTTTATTTTGTATATTTTTATTTACTCTTTTTGGTTTTCAACTTTTAAGTAATGTAGTAATTTTTTTTTATCATTATATAGCAGCTATAGCTATTTTTTGTCCAATTGTTGTAGTCTATTCTAAATTTTTCAGTGACTAAGAAATATATTTTCCAATTGTCTTCTTTTTATCCATATTGTCTTATCATCAGAATTATTCTGAGAAATTTAACAAAAATTCATATATCATTATCCCATATATCATATATTGTTATCCCATATATCATATATCGTTATCCCATATTTCTTTCATTAAATATAATAGACAAGGAAAATTTTATTTAGTTTTTCCAGTGTTCTTACAGTTTTCAGTTTGGTGGGTGTAAGAGAGTGTAAAATTGTCCATATTGTCCCAAACGCTAATGGCTATTTCATTAGTCATTTTCAAAGAGGGTTTGTTTTAGGTACTGTTAATTTCTCTTCATGTTTTGTCTGTTTAAGATCTATTTTATTTTTGTACTAGGAGCGTTTATTCCAAGCCTCTGCATGTTGATAATTCTTGCACTCCTGTACACCTTACACTCACCAAACAGAAAATTGTAAGAATGCTGGAAAAACTATAAAAAATGTTAATTAAATTTTCTTTATCTGTCATATTTAACAAAAGATGTTTAAAATGTTTGCTGCCCAAATATACATTAATATCACTGTCTTGTCCGTATATTGCTTAATATGTTGTAATTGACATCTTTGATAATGGCTTATGTAAGCCGAAAGCTTAGATTGTATTAAAAAAAATATGGATCAATATTGTGAATTTCTTTCTTCGTTCAATTATAATGTTATTAAACTTTTTAGACGTTATGAAAAGAGTTTACATAAAATAAATAGACAACACTTGTCTATATTATTTAATGAAATGTGTATGAATATATGAATATATATATATATATATATATATATATTAATGTCCATACTTTTTTTCTAGAATTAAATCAAAGTTTAGGCAGCTTGATCCTGGTACATGTAGTAGGAAACATATCATTTGTTGATTCCAAAAACATAAGTTTTCAAAAGCATCCTAAGTCTGGGAGCCTGTAGTTAATCCAAAAACAAATAAAAAGTGAACCAGCAACCAAGAAAATTCCGATTTTCTAAGAAACAATTTGATACTTCAAAGAAACCTGACTGACTGCTACAAAACACCAGCCACTTACCGACTGGCTTCCTTCCTCTACTCCTGAACATAAATACATGAACAGACCTCCTCTTTCTTATCAGTATATACCAAGGGTTGGCAATCCCCAGCCCCCAGGCCACATCTCGACCATGAAGGATTTTTGTCTGGCCTGCCATCTTAATATCTGGACACTAATGATCTAATTAGTTTGTGAAGCAAATGATGGAATAAAATATCAGTTAGAGTTAATTGACTTACAATGTGATGAATTTTTTAAATCAAAATTTAATTCCAAATCCTCTGCTGACTTCTACAAGAAACGTGTTTTGCCAAGCGGAAATAGAAAAGCCAACTGAATAATGCAAAAATGATGATATCATTATTTGGAAGTACATATGGTGGTTTAAATGTGACATAAGGCCAAAAATCTGGG